AAATTTTAGATTGAAAATTTTGAAAATTGAAACAAGATCACGTGATTGGTCGGTTTTAGCTTGTATGCACTGTATTATAAATTAGTCACGTTTAGAGAATACATGTACAATCAACTTTTATTGGATAGCTTATTGCCATACAACTACGTATCGATATACATTTTTTTACTGCTAATACATGTATATTTTTAAAATTGAATTTCTGGCATCATTGTTGATTCTTTATGGCGTGTCAAAAACTGGTACTGTAACTCGAATTTTAGTAGGTGGTGTGAAGGATCCCAGTTGTTTGTCGATATTATCGACATTCTTAACCGTCTTTTCAACTAAAGTGCGATAATAATATAACACCTTGATCATCTTTTTGATGTAATATAATGAATTCGGCCCATCTTCTACAGGTACATAGATATTTTCTAGACTTCGAACTCTTCCAAATGGAAAGAATCTGTAATCCATAATTGAAAACGTCACATGATAATCTAACAAGATATAATTTCAAAAGTTAGTATATAAAATAAAATAATATGTGGCTTTCATAATAATAATAGTTACCATGAGATTGAATTAAGAATATGTTTACATCTTTCAATTGTTTGTTATACTGATCAGGAAATAATTTATATATTGATTCAAACGAAACTTTGCCGATTTTTGCCAATTTCACTCGATCACCACACACATGATCAGTATTATTTGGATGGTTAGGCCCATAAGACGTCTCTTCAAACATTAGTTCATAATCATAAGACTTTTTGATTATGCTTTGCTTGTAGCCTTGGAAATCTCCTTTTTTATTTTTGCCCCGAGTAACAGATGATGACTTGACAATTTTGTTTTCCCAGTTCCGACATATTTTGACATTGCATAGTATATATTCGATCATTGGCGCTATAGCATCATGGTTCCATGTACTTTCCATGATAACATTAACCCTTTTGTAGGTTGGATTATCCCACAGGTTCATTCTTAAAAAGCAATGTTATTTTCAGAATTTATTATGATTTTGAAAGAAAGAAAAAAAGAACAGATATGAACATTTTACGAATCAAATTGTTTAGAGCTCGATATTCTTCTTTCTTCAATTTATTATAGTTTGTATTATCATAATATTTTTTTGGGATTCGATCGTCATCATTTAAAACAACGCGTTCAATATGAGCTTCAATTTCCTCAGGAAGTTCAGGTATTACGATTTCTTCATTAAACAAGTCCCAAACTCCTCTTAATTCTAAATGTGCTTGAATAGCACGTGGTATTGTTCTTAAATCAAAGATACCTGATAAAATTGAGTCGTTATATTTATTAACATCAGCAAAATCGATCCAGCCAGATAGAAACTTTGTAACATCATCATTGCTATTTTTGCTTAACTAAAAAAAATATTAATTACTTGATTTATTTAATTACTAAGAAAAAAGCTAAAAAGTAACTTACATTCAAAATCTCTTTGATAGCTTCATGAACTTTTGATCTAACACCATGTATTTTTACGCATTTCTGCAAATTATATTTGATCGCTTCACGTTTCAAAAATTTGAAAAAGTCTTCAATATTTCGTTCCATTTTTGCCAAATCAAATTTTTTCCACAACGTCTTAATAGGATCTATTAGCTATTAAAAATATATTAAATATCAGTATTCATTATTATTTGCTAAATAAATTACACTAATGGATAAGAGTATCATCAGATAAATAGAGTGGCTTTGAATATGGTGCAATGCAACTGGCGAGGATGAAACAGAGCCAAGGCCAGTGTGCATCGCGTTGGTGCAATGCAACTGGCGAGGATGAAACAGAGCCAAAGCCAGTGTGCATCGCGTTGGTGCAATGCAACTGGCGAGGATGAAACAGAGCCAAGGCCAGTGTGCATCGCGTTGGTGCAATGCAACTGGCGAGGATGAAACAGAGCCAAAGCCAGTGTGCATCGCGTTGGTGCAATGCAACTGGCGAGGATGAAACAGAGCCAAAGCCAGTGTGCATCGCGTTGGTG